AAATTCGAAATGATTTGTTTTTATCTTTAAGAACATTTAACAGGGGATCTACCCTCTTAACAAATTTTTGAAGATGACACGATTGTATATGTAGAAAATCCTAAAGAACTTACCCAAAAACTCAAAATAGAATGAAATACTTACATATAAACTTCAAAAACTGTACAGATTTTGTATACAAAGAAATTTAAAATGCTGATTAAAGAAATCAGAGAAGACCTAAATAAATGAAGAGATACACTATACTCATGGATTGTAAGAGTTATAATAAAGATGTCAGTTCTCCCCCAAATTGATCTATAGATTTCACACAATTCCCAGCAAAATTCCAGCAAAAAAAATTTTTGGTAGACATAGAAAAGCTTATTCTAAAATGTGTGTGGAGGGATTTCCCTGGCGATCCAGTGGCTAAGACCCTGCACTCCCAATGCAGGGGGCCTGGGTTCAATCTCCAGTCAGGGAACTATATCTCACATGCTGCAACTAAGAGTTTGCATGCCGCAACTAAAGATCCCGTGTGCTGCAACTAGGACCCGGCATAGCCAAATAAATAGAGATTTAAAAAAATAAATAAAATGTGTGTAGAAAAGCAAAGGACCTAGGATGGCTAAAACAATTTTGAAAAAGAAAAATAAAAAATCACTAGACTTGATGTTAAGGCTTATTATGCAGCTATAGTCATAAAGACGATGTGGTATTTATTGGCAAAGGGCTATATACATAGATCAGTGGAAATTAATAGAGAACCCCCAGATAGACCCCAGGGTTAAGGATGAAGGCTGGTGGGTGTGGCTATTAAAGGGGTAGCACTAAGGAGCATTGATTGTGGTGGTTGTTCCATGACTCTACAAGATACAATTGCACAGAGTTATATATATATACACATACACATACAAATGAGTGCATGTAAAACTGGTGAAATATGAATAAGCTCTATGGATTGTATCAATGCCAATTTCTTGGGTTTTTTTTTTTTACTCTTTTCCAGTTCCTGTTTTTTATTCTTTAAATTGCAGTAATAACTGACATATAACATTGTGTTTGTTTTAGGTGTACAGCCTAATGATTCAGTATTCATATATATTACAAAATAATCACCACAATAAATCTAATTAACATTTGTCACCACACGTAGTTACAAATCTTTTTCTTGTGATGAGAACTTTTAGGATTTACTCTCTCAGCAATTTTCAAATATACAATACAGTGTTATTAACTGTAGTCACTGTGCTGTACATTACATCCCCAGGACATGTTTATTTTGTAACTGGAAGTTTGTACCTTTTGACCCCCTTTACCCATTTCATCCACCTGGTGTTTGATATTGTACTATATACATATACACCTCATTTTATTGCAATTCGCAGATAGTGCATTTTTTACAAATTGAGGGTTTGTGGCAACCGTGCATCAAGCAAGTCTATCAGCACCATTTGTCCAACAGCATTTACTCACTTCAGGTCTCTGTGTCACATTTTGGTAGTTCTCATAATATTTCAAACTTTTTCATTATTATTATATTGGTTATGATATCTGATCAATGATGTCACTACCGTGACTTGCTGAAGGCTCAGATGATGGTTAGCAGTTTTTGGCAATAAAGTATTTTTTAATTAAGGTATGTACAGTTTTTTTTAGACATAATGCTGCTGCAAACTTAACTGACTACAGTATAGTGTAAACATAACTTTTATACATACTGGGAAACCAAAAAGTTCACTTTATTGCAGTGGTCTGGAACTGAACCCACAATCTCTCCAAGGTATGGCTTTATTGCTATATAGGACATTATTACTGGTGAAACTGGATGAAGGGTGCATGGGACCACTTGTTCACTTTTTGACACTTCCTCTTAACTTATAATCATTTCAAAATAAAAATTTTAAGTGACCCCTCCCCCAAAAAAGCCATGTCACTTATTCAACTGTACCCACCTAAAACAAATGCTACAAACTCATCATAAGCTCATTTATACCAGGTTTTGTAAATATTAGTTTGTCTAAATGGCAAATAATTTTTTTTCCTTCTTTTCACAATCAAATTCAGATGTGGGTCATCCTACTACAAAACTGGTCTAAACTCTTAACAAATGTCAATGGCACAAAAGACGAAAAGAGCAACAGATTGTTCCTGTGTCTTACATTTTAAAGGCAGAACAGGGACTTGACAATCAAATGTAATGTGTAAATTTTTATTGTATCCTGGATTAAAAAGAACATCTTTAAAGATACTTTTGCATATAACAAACCCACAGGTATCATCATTCTCAGTGGTCAAAAGCTGAAAGCATTCCCTCTAAGGAACAAGGCAAGGATTCCATTGTCACCACTTTTATTCAACATAGCTTTGGAAGTCCTAGCCACGGCAATCAGAGAAGAAAAAGAAATAAAGGGAATCCAAATTGGAAAAGAAGAAGTAAAACTGTCACTGTTCGCAGATGACATGATACTATACAAAAGAAAATCCTAAAGATGCTACCAGAAAACTACTAGAGCTCATCAATTAGTTCGGTAAAGTTGCAGGATACAAAATTAATACACAGAAATCTCTTGCATTCCTATACACTAACAATGAAAGATCAGAAAGAGAAATTAAGGAAACAATCCCATTTACCATCATATCAAAAAGAATAAAGTACCTAGGAATAAACCTACCTAAGGTGGCAAAAGACCTGTAGTCTGAACAATATAAGATGCTGACGAAAGAAACCGAAGACCACACAAACAGATGGAAAGATATACTGTGTTCTTGGACTGGAAGAATCAATATAAACCGAAGACCACACAAACAGATGGAAAGATATACTGTGTTCTTGGACTGGAAGAATCAATATTGTTAAAATGACTATACTACCCAAGGCAGTCTATAGATTCAATGCAATCCCTATGAAATTACCAACAGCATTTTTCACAGAACTGGAACATAAAATTTTTAAAATTTTGTATGGAAACAATAAAGACCTTGAGTAGCCAAAACAATCTTGAGAAAGAAGAACAGAGCTGGAGGATTCACACTCCCTGACTTCAGACTATACTACAAAGCTACAGTAATCAAAACAGTATGGTACTGGCACAAAAGCAGAAATATAGATTAACAGAACAGGACAGAAAGCCCAGAAATAAACTCACGCTATGAACCTAAAATTGCTCTAAAAATAAAGTCTACAGGAATTCCCTGGCTGTCCAGTAGTTAGGACTCCACGCTCTCACTGCTGAGGGCATGGGTTCAATCCCTGGTCAGGGAACTAAAATCCCACAAGCTGTATGGTGTGGCAAAAAAAAAAAGAAAGAAAGTCTACTAAAAAAGGCAATTCTTTGTTGGTTTCATTACTTTTTGAGAATCAGCATTTGCTTTTTATGTTCAGTGGTTAATTATAGGTTTTAAGTTGGATATTTACCTCCTTTGCCCATTTTTCTAAAGGAACTTTCTCTTTCATAGATTTGTTAGTGCTTTGAATATATTAGTGATTTTAGCCCTTTATTTGGAGGAAAGAAGAAATGGTGTGTTCAGGCCAATTGCTTTATGTGAACACTTAACAGACCAAAGGTGCATTCCTACAGACTGTGGGCCTTGTACAGTGAACCACCCAAGAAACCAGCTCTTTTTTTGAATAAAGGACAAGATGGAGTAAGCCTTTTCCCTTGCTTCAAAGGCATTTCAGGGCATTTGGGACATAGTTACTTACAGAGAAGAACTTTTGTACTTGGAAGGAAAAAATGTAGATAAGCATTGGAAATATAAGGTAGAAGATAGGTCGTAAGATACAGTCATCCCATCTCATCAGTTACCCTGGCATATGTTTGCAGAAGACTTGTCTTTTATTTATTCATAAAAGGTGTCCTTATATTAAGAAAATCCATGATATGGGCACCATAGACCAAATGTTTGGGTCTCCTCCAAAATTCATATATTGAACCCTAATCTCCCAGTGTGATAGTATTAGGAGGTGGGGCCTTAAATTATAAGGGTGGAGTCATGAATGGGATTAGTGCCCTTATTAAAGAGCCTCCAGGGAGCTTCCTTGCCCCTGCCACCATGTGAGGCTACAGCTAAAAGACAGCCATCTATGAACTAGGAAGTGGGCCTTCAGCAGACAGTGAATCTGCCAGTGCCTTGATCTTGGACTTCCAGACTGCCTAACTGTGAGAAATAAATTTCTGTTATTTATGTCACCCAGTCTATGAATGGACTAACATATGGGACTAAACTTTTTTCCTTGGTCATCTATATTTTACTTTATTATATTTATTTATTTATTGCAAAAGCAGAATTGTCACATTTATCATTCTTTCATTTTATGTCTCTGGGGTTTGTATCATACTAAGAGAGGTCTTTCTTATTCTTAAGACTATAAATACAAAATATTTTATAGTATCATCACCATGCACTTCCTCAAAGGACTACATTTCATATTACTCATTCACACAAAACCTTGAAATGGTACCATGAACAACAGGTTGTCAACTAGGGATGATTTTGCTCCCACCATGGAACATTTGGCCAGGTCTGGAGACATATTTTATCTACACACTGGGGGTGTGCTACTGACATCTGTGGGTAGAGGCCAGGGATAGAGCTAAACCCCTGCAATGCACAGGACAGCTCCCTCCCACCTCCAACAAAGAATTATCCAGCTCAAAATGTCCATATGGTGATGAGGTTGAGAAAACCTAACGTAAACCATCTCTCTTCCCTGGTTGTTCTGATAACCACTGTTTCGATCTTCTGTATAAAATCAAACATTGAAAAGAGTGAATGAGATGGAAAAGAAAGAAAAAGGGAGAAATTGGATAAGGAAATTTTGGTAAGTTGGAGAAAACCATCTTACCCCACTGATCGTATCCTTAACTCAGTCAGCCCCTGTAATTCAGCTCCAAAAGCTTAAATTTAACAAACATCATTTTATAAAGTACACCAGAAAAAGAGTTAGAATATTGGAGGAAAAAACCTGGCAAACATTACTGGCATACTACTAAGGGACAGAAGCATGAAGAGACTAATTATTATGTAAATGCCTTTATTTGAACTAATACATTGCTACCAGATTACATCACTTTTCAGAGTTAGAGTAACATTGTGATCTTGAAAACTATAGCAAACAGCTTGACAAAGCAAGAGTACATTAAGTCCTACATATATGTTTATTTTTTAGTGACCACATCTCCTTGTCTTAGGTGTAAAATTAGAAAATTTATTATACACTTAGCATACTTGGCCTACCGTATCCTGCCTAAATTCTGAGCCCACTCTCTCCTCAAAAGTGTCATATTCAACAGCACTTTAAATCTAAAGAGAGAGTTTGATGATACAGGTTTTAAAACAAATAAGCATATATTGAACCAAGTGTTTTAAGACAAAATATGTCAATTGTTTACAGCTTCGGTGTGAGAGGGAAGATGGAAATTCAAGGTACATTTTTCTTCTACCTATAATGTATGTTTTTTACTTACTTGAAGACCCCTTAAAAAAAGTAGCAAAATCAGCAGTCTTATTTAATGTAATCAAAATATTCTTAAATGTACAAAAAAGGATCATGTAGAAAGAATACTGTAAAAAGATACTGATTTTTAAGAATAAACGAATATGAAAAGCTTCTATTACATTCTACACAGCCAGTTACTTCTGTAAATTTTCAGTACTAGAGAGATAAGCGAAGGATACTCATATCCAAATACCCTCTGACCACAGTTCTTGAATAAGAACTAGCATACTGGATGAAAAGCAGAATTATTGCCTAATAATATTCATATCCAATCATCTAAGCAAGTCCCAGGAGGTGGACATCCTAAGAGGGAAACAGAAACAGAGAGAAATACGTACAGCAATGGGAAACGTCAAGGGCAGCGATCTAGGAGGAGCGAGTAAATGATTTGGCTACGAGCACATTTCAGGTGGGCATGACAAATCCACCTTGACTACGGGAAAGAGGAGTTGTTATTAAAACTCTTTCCCCTGAGGGCTCCCATGATGAGCTTAGTCTTGTTAAAAGTCCTTTAAATAACCAATGGTTCCTTAAGCCATGAGCACTTCACCTGGAAATTGCTGACCTGCTAATCATGCACTTGGGAGCAAGGTTGTTTTTATTCAAATTGGTTATTTTACACTCTCTTCATTCCCCTGCCCATCAAGCATGCAAACACAGTCATGACCATCTTGGGCTTTACTTCCACAAGGTCTTCCGGGAGAGCATACACCCTGGCTCCAATTCTTCTAGCCATTGACACTGCGTACCTATTTTTGGAGAAAACAATAATTAAGGTGAAATTCTGGTCAGTCAAGGGCACAACATGAGACATCTATTTCCTCTTATATAATCATTTGTCTGGGACACAAAACTTCTATAGTGAAAGTTCAAATCGGAATGATTTCATTTTTCGTTATTTTGTTTTCTGTTTTATTTTGTTTGCGAGGTCACTTATAAGTGACACCAGATTTTTAAGTTCTACTATTTTGGGCTGATAATATTTATTCACTCTTTTTCTACAATATAAAATGAGAAATAATTTTGGAGCACTGATTTGATATGAAAAAAATAGTTTTCTAGAATATATAATTACCCAGATTGATATTCTCGTTGAGCATGTAATAAGATAATAGTAACTCTCATGAGATCTTAGAGATTTGGGGTGGAAAAAATTATGCCAGACGCAAAATACAAGTTGGTAGATGCAGTGAATACTTCCAAATATTCAAGGGAGGGGAGAGAGCCTACATGGTACATGGCCAGAGTGGCCGAAGCAAGGAATGCAAAGTGTAGAGAAAGGAAGGGAGAAAAGAACATGACATGTCCAGCTGGGGAAATCTGCAGGAGCTTCCCTCAATTAATACACAAGGCATTTCTAGGTGTTCTGTAACAGGAATCTTTAAAGATGATCAAGCATCTGGAAAAAGACGCCTCAGGAGTTCTCTATAAATTATGGATATTAAATCTTTATCATATTACGCTACAAATATTTTTTTAAGGAGGGCAGTAATGATGTGCTTAACCACGAAGTTTTGCAGTTATGTTTCTTAGCTATCCTGTGAAGCCCAGCTGGGGGCTGATTTTCAGTGTGTACTGGGAAAGTTTTCATGGGTTACCCGTGAAACCAGATCACAGTCTAGGTCTTTGGAGAAGGGAAGAGACAGGTGGAAAAAACCTCAATACTGTTGAAACACAGGAAACTTTCAAGGCACAGTTCCACCTGAGGGTTTAGCATCCTACCCACTTAAGGGACCAAGATAATAAACTCAACATACATAGTAAATTGGTCTATGCACAGTAAGAGAGACATCACTAGATAATGTGTGTTAAAAGAGTGCGACAGAAGAATACTCTTATCAAAGGCATGGTTATTCTTAGCTCATCTTTCACTTGTAAGTTTGCAGCTAAGTTGCATTAAAGCATACATTATTTCTGTAATCTACTAAAGCAACGACTGACTGAGCACCTACCTACTAGGTCAGGTGCAACGCTAGGCTCTTACAGATTTTATACATTTCAAAATCTCCAAGGTAAGTATTATTATTATTATTATTATTATTTGCTGTACGCGGGCCTCTCACTGTTGTGGCCTCTCCCGTTGCGGAGCACAGGCTCCAGACGCGCAGGCTCAGCATCCATGGCTCACGGGCCTAGCCGCTCCGCGGCATGTGGGATCTTCCCGGACTGGGGCACGAACCCATGTCCCCTGCATCGGCAGGCGGACTCTCAACCACTGCGCCACCAGGGAAGCCCTCCAAGGTAAGTATGATTGATCCCATTTTACTGATGAGGAATCTGAGGCTAGAAGAGGTTTCCCCCAGGTGACATCATTCTCAAGTGGCAGAACCTGAATGAGAATGCAGGTCTGCCTGACTATAACGCCTGTGCTCTTGCCAGGATATTATGCAGCATCCCTTACTTGGCATTATTGTGCTTGTCATCTTCCGTTAGATTGCCGCTCTTAACAAGGTCATAGTTTATGCAGCCTGGCTGGATGGCATCAATTAAATCCACAACTGCCAAACTGGAGCTGATCGTCTTGTCCTAGTGTAAAAGGACAATACATCTGAGAATTTCAATGTGTACAAATTAACGTGGATTACCTATATAAAGCTGCCAGAAACAAAGTCCAGTGAATTAAAAAAGAATCACGCCATTGGCCCAACAATGATTCTCACTCACAAAGAAACCAAAAGCTAGCCTTCCAAATTATACTTTCTAGAGCAAACAGTGTTTAATAGTCAAACATGGAATTCTTACCTTAAAACTCTGAATGGAAGTTGATTTTCCAGCTTCACTCAATGTTCTGTTCACCCAGCTTACAATGATGTCATCATTAGCTTTCTGACCGTCTCCAAGATCTTCCAGGACATTGAGGGTATATCTAAAGGAAGCAGAAGAAAAGGTCCTGATCTACTTCATGAGAAAAAATTCAATTAGAAAGATGCTTTATCTTTAATTTCTTCTCTTTAGGTTTAGAGTTCATGGAAAGAGAGTTGCACTGTATGAAAAAAAAACAACCAACATTTCAAGTAGTAGTGGCTTGCCATTGAGCTGCCTTTTGCACTGGTGGGGGGAAGATTCTCAGTGCTTTAATGAGTAAGCCCAACAGTCTACTGCAGTCTCATTTTGTACTAGTCCAACCATGGTAAGGACTTAAAATAAGCTGTGCTTTGGCTGGTACCCAGTTATAATGAATGCTTTTCAGCATTACAGTTAAGAGATCTTTCTCAAATGTATACATGGGGTATTCATAATTTTTGCTATTTTTATTCACCGACACTGAATGAGGCTCAAGTCTGTCTGTCAGGCTTCCTATGCAAAAAGGGAAATAGTCACAGTTCTGCTGCCTCACTTTCAAGAAGCCATCTCTCATTGGCCATCCAACATATATTCATTACTTAAGCTCACTTCAGAGTCTAAACACAGAAATTTCAAAGATGTAGTCATCGATACATTTGCTTAAAAATAATAAGGACTAGATCACAGACTTGTATTACAGTGAAGTTTAAACAGCTAAAATTGTGTACCATACCTTCTCATCAGCTGCCAGACTAGAGCTAAAGTCAGGGTTTGGTTCCCATCATTCAGGTCTTGCCCTCCAATGCCAACCAGGGAGAATTTGGCAGGATGCTTCCCTAATTCAACAGCATAGTTGCAGTTTTCTAGCTGCAAACACACAAAAGCAAATGCTTAAAAGATTTTTCACTTGTTTAATCTGTATATGGATGTGTGCACAAAACTAAGACACAGTTCCTTTCCTTAAGAAGCTCAGAGCCAACGAGTTTCCCAAACAAAAGAAACAAATTGTGAATTAAAAGTCTGTAAGAAATACGTGCAGCAACCTAATTATCTACCTTTTTCATGTTGGCTCCAAGTTTCGGGTATGGAGGTTTATTCACCTTACTCCAGTCAACAGGAACTTTAATTCGTTCGTATAACTGTAAGATTACCAGGGCATCTTGCAGGTCACTAATGATTTAAAAAGAATTTGATCAATGCTTTCAGACAGCTGGGCCTATGTTTCCTTAAAAATAATAACACTACACTGTCAAACAAGATATATAAAACCATAGATAATACCCAAGACTCCTATTTTTTTAATCAATCTGTGCTGAAAGTAGAGCTAACACCATCCAATTCTCTTAAAAATATTTATTGAGAGTTTATCGTTTGAAAAGTACTGTTCTAGAAGCTGGGCACATAGGACAAAAATCCCTGGCCTTTAAATCAGAGAGAGAGAGAGAGAGAGGGAGGGACAGAGAGAGGGAAGAAACAAGTATATGGATAATATGATTTGGGGTGTATTTAATTGCTATAAAAAAAAAAAAGAACGAGGTTAGGGGTTAGGTAGTGGTAGGTGGTGGTCAAGATCTGAATCAGTGGCTTGAATATAGCAAGGGAATAACGCATTAGATGTGGAAAAGAACATTCCGGGCTGAGAGAACAGTGAGTACAAAGGCTTCAAGGCATCATGGATGGTCTGCTTAAGGCACCCTCTGGTCTCTGTTTCAAAATATAAATATCTGTTCCCTACGGTGTTAGAAAGACATTTATACATTCTTTCACTTAATGCTAATGATCATGTAAAGAAATAATCTGGGCTTTTGTGTATTTGGAAATGAAAATGGGAGTCACCACTCAACATTTTCCAATATAAGTAATATGCTACAAACTAACATTTAGGAAAGGTTTAGAGCTGTAATTATTTGTGTAGCGTCCATTCATGATGTTCATAACTGTTTACAATAGCAGTAGGAAGGCTTACGCATAGAGATGGTTTACATGGGGATTAACACCAAGAGAGTTCATCCAGTTACGGAAGGTTCTTTCTTCACGAGTTTCTCCTATTAAAAATATTCACAATGTTTATATATTCACTAAATACCTTGTATATGTGCATATAACATCAACCCACATATAAGATTATTTTATTTCTTCTTTACAGATCTAGAGCTTTTTCTCCATTGTGAGTCTCTAAGCAGCCTCTCTAAATACATTCTCTCTAGATACATGCTTCTTTTTTAAACTGGATGAATTTATTTTAAAAGTAAAGAATACAACCTTATTAATAACCAGTTAAGCAATTTAGAGGTGTATGAAGTTTTTAAAATCTCCTCCTCTGTCTAATCCTTCTCCAGTATCTCCCCAAATCCCCATACCTCTAAAGTAACTGATGTTATCAGTTTAGTTTTTATTTTAAAAATTTGCTAGGGTCATATCATATAAACCTCTATACTCATATTAATCTACATCTTCCCTCTACCCATTTAACAAATACTAAACTACATATATGTACTCCTTTTACATGCCTATATTAGAGCAACAAATTATTTGAAACTTCAAAAGCATAAAATTTAAAGATTTTATAGTAATGATAGTAGACATGCAATGAACTACTATTTACATTTGTTAATTTTTAAGTACTATACTTCATGCATATATAATCTGGCAAAGGTAAACTCTGCCTTTCCTGAACTTAAACGAATAATTACCATGCATTATTATTATTTTTTGAGTAGGTTAAGTGTGAAAGGAACTGGGGCCAGTTTCAGTTAGTCTGACTGGAAGAATGAAACATAAATATTGTAAATTTATAAATTTTGTGCAAATGTGTGTAAATTTTATGCATATAGGCATTTTTCTGGTGAGAGGTTTAAAAAGTGACCTAATTCTAAAATATTAAAATAAAACATTGGTTTACTAAGTGGCCTTAAACTAAGTGACCCTAGGCTAGCTTACTTTAAAAGTTCCCTTGTATCATTCCTTTCTATCAGCTGCCACTTTTTACTCAGCCCTTGGGACTACTTCTAGCAGACGGTTGCTAAAGGGGATAAGGAAACTTATTAAAGTCAAGATTATGAAATCACTGTGGCCTATGTATTTCTACTCTGTAGTCCCAAACATAATTTAAGAAACGTTTAGTTACCTTCTAATAGAGTCCAGTCAATATCCTGGTTCTCTGGCTTAGTTAGTGCCGGGTATTTATTAAACAGGTTAGCCACAAAGGCTAAGTTCAGTTTGGGGTTTCCACTGACGACATCAGCAGGGGTAACAAACTGTCTGCAACCTAATTTGTCTGCTTGTTGAAGCATGCTCTCGGCTCTCTTCAAATCATCTGTTTCCTGTTGAAGTAAAATAAGAAGACATTTTTTAAAAGACCATACTAAAAATATAGAAATGTTTTCCTACAATGGTAGGCTGGGTATACAGTTCTGTTTTCTCTTAGTCAATATATGGTACTTATTGTTTTGAATGCAAAAAAAAAAAAAAAAAAAAGTTGGCTGTGCTGGATATGCAGTACCTTGAAAATACCCTAGATGGCACCAGATCGTATATCTAAGGACAGAATACATTTAACTCAATAGAGATTACATCTCTCATGGCAAAATTCATCAAGAAAAAAGCAAAACCTGTTCAGATTTTTAAATTAAGCCCTAAAGAAGGTGTAAGGCTGAAAAAGATGATGGAATTATGAGAAAATATTTTAAAAATAATAATCAGGGATACCAGGTTCTGATAATTTTATTTCAAGTTTAAATTGCATATTTTAAATCGTTGTTTTTCTCTTCAACTATTTTTTGTTTGTTTTATTTTACTTTTCCACCCGGGAAGCAAAGTTGTCCATTTCTGTAAAAAAAAATACTTACTTTCAACTAATTCCTAGGACTCCTAACTTTTCTTCTTCTCCATTTTGCCTTTCTTTTCTTCTGGAAAGATGCATGCTGATCTCTTGACTAACGTATGGTTTGGTGAAGATTTTTAAGTTATAGATCTGATGATTTCAGACCAATGTAAAAATAGTTTCCCAGATGCTCACCATTCCCACCTCCCACCAATAAAAGTTCCTCCTCCTGGAGCTGCAGGAGAAACAGTTGCTTTTGGATTATTCCTTTCTAGTGACCTGCCCTCCAGACTGTTCTTGGCAGCTACAACAGACATCTCCACCCCAGTCTACCCCAGGGCAAAAGTAGCTCTTCTGGAAAACAGTGTCATGTGAAAAGAAAAGGGATTTTATAACTGGGAGGAAAAAAGAGAGAAAGGGAACTTCAGGAATGTTACTTCTAAACCAACACGGTGCATGCAGATTGTATAGTTTGAGAGTCTTAACTCTGTCTTTAATGGGTGGTGGTATCTTTAGTTTTTTAATCTCCAGTGAGGTGCCTTGACTGTCTGGGACTCCAGAACAATGTGTATTTATTGTGTTACCCTTCTCTGTTACCATCTGCAGAGCAATCAGTAACCACGAGCAGATGGGCAATTGAGTGGGATTCAGCCTTTCTTCAGGATTCTCTGTGAGCCTAGTGACTTCCTCTCACAGAGCCTATTTTATTTCTTGTAACCTAGAAATGCCTCTGGTTTATGCTATTTACCATCTTTAATGCCTCTGGTTTATGCTATTTACCATCTTTATTTTAAAATCCCTTATTTATTGATCATCTTGGCATTCCTAAACAAAAAGCATTGATAATATTGGAATAGAAGGAAGCTTTAAAATAGCCCAAAATTTAAAAAATTCAAATAGTTAAATACATTGTAGAATAGTGAAACAAAAAATAATCAAATAAAAAATATACATATGCAAAAAAGAACTTCAGCCCATACCTCACATCATATTCAAAATTAACCCCAAACACACACACATACACACACACACACAAATGTATAAACCCAACACTATAAATCCAAAACCCAAATGTAAAACTAAATGTAAAACCCCAAACTATAAAACCTCTAGGAGAAAACATAAGGAGAAATGCTTGTGACCTTGTGTTAGGCTAAAAGTTTTTAGATACAACACCAAAAGCATGATTCATAAGAGAAAAAAATAACTAAATCTGACTGTCAAAATTAACAACGTCTGTTCTTTGAAAAACACCAGGACTAAATATTTGCAAATCACATATCCAATAAAGGACTTGTATTCAAAATATATAAAACACTCAAAACTTGACAAGAAGAAAACAAACAATGCAATTAAAATGGGTAAAGTGTTTAAAGAAAGATATATGGATGGCAAATAACTACGTGAAAAGATGTTCAACATCACTTGTCATTAGGGAAATGCAAATTAAAATCACAATGAGACACCTCTACACCTGTTAAAATGATTCATGTTTAACCACACTAAGGTGTCAGTGAGCATGTGGACGTGCTGGTACTTTCACGTCCTGCTGGCGGCAATGTGCGAAGGTACAACTACTTTGGAAAACAACTTGGCAGCTCCTTAAAAAAGTTAGACACACACATACCATACTACCCAGCCATTCCACTCCTAGGTATTTACCCAAGATAAATGAATGCGTATATGCATACAAAGACTTGTATATGAATGTTCAGAGCAGCTGTATTTGTAATAGCCCCAAACTGGAAACAATTCAAATGTTCATCAACAGGTGAATGGGTAACAAATTATAGTATATCCATTCACTGGACTATTATTCAGCAATAAAATAGGAATGAATTTATGATACATGCAACAACATGGATGAATCTCAAAATAATTATGCTGAGTGAAAGAAGCTAGATAAAATAAGAATACATACTGTATGATTCCATAAAATTCTCAAAAATTCAAACTAAACTTAAAGAAAGTAAATCAGTGGTTGCCTGGGATGGAGGAGTATGGGAGTATGGGGGCAGGGAGGAATTACAAAGGATCATGAGGAAACTTGATGTGGTGATGGATGGATATATATATATATATATATATATATATACCCCCCTAAAGAAGATATAAGACTGAAAAAGATGAAGGACACTGAGAAACAAGGGGAAAAGCAAGAGGAAAGGCTCAGAGGTAAAATGAGTGTGTGTGTGGTGGGTACAGAGTAGTGGGAAATTGCACTGGTATAGCAGGGCCTTACATGATCAGCAGAACATTTCGGATTGAACTCTAGAGTCAACGGGGAAACCTTGAAGGATTCTGAGGAGGTAAGAGACAATGAAGGGAGTGCTTTAAGATCAACTAGGGAGGAGTGATAGAGACAGCTCCCTTAGTGCACAAGAGGGCCCCTTGTTCGTGCCAAGAGTGACCTGAACTGAAGAATTTCACAGTTAAAAACAGACAGAAATATAAGCACTACAAAGTCAGTTACAAATTCAGTTCTGATAAGGGCAGCATAAATGGTTTAGCCAGTGTAATCCACTCAATCCTACTGTGAAATATGCTAGAAATGTGGATTTTTAAAAACCAGTAGAATACATTCCACATCTAATGAGTACTAGCAACAACAGGATCCTAGAAAGTTGGGACTAAATAGTCTAGGCCAACTCTTTACTTCATGTATGAACAAAGTGAAATCCAATTTCAGGAAGGAACTTGTCCAAGGTCATTGAACAAATAAGTGATGTAATCAGGGAACATATTCTGTGACAGTAATTCCCCAAACTGGATTTCAGGGAGCAGCAGTTTGTAAACATATTCACATTACTCTCAACACAGGAATATTACAGATGCATATATGAATATGTAGTCATTAAATCTATCACTGTGATTGTAATCCAAATACTTGGAAAACGTTAGTCTCTAGTGCTTATTTCCCCACACTTGCTTTGAATATTTTATGCCATCCATATGAACCAATGCCACCATAATTACAGAACTCACGAATAAACTGTTAACATAAATCAAAGCATCTTTCTGCCTCTGAATTACACCTACAGTAATAAATTTTAAAATAATGCTTAAAATTGTCAACACAACATGCAATTATAAAAATTCTTGTTATTTATAAGAAATTGACAACAACTTTGTAAGCTTGTAGAATTCAAAAGAACACCTATACTTACATTGAAACCTGACATGTTAATATCTATCCGTGGTTCACCTTCCTTTTGTCCTTTTGGTGCAATTTGATTGAGAAGATGAAAATAGGCTTTGGAATCCTACAAATGAATTGAAAATGTCAGTGAGATCACATTTATAAAGAATGAATGTATCCTATTGTCCCATGTTTGGAAGGATACTTGCATCGGATTTTGTGAGAATGTACGACACAAATCTCTATCTTCTAATTTAACAGCTCCTTTCCCCAGAAAAGTCCACTTTTCTGGCCTTAGGTCTGCCTTGAATATGGATGAACTGGATTTTGTCATGACTTTACAATTTATTGAAGTCATCAATACAATAATGCTAGTAAACACGTAACTAGTTCTGTACCTTCACTGAGTTACTGAAGTCAATAAGCTTGATAGATAAAACAAGCAAGAGAAAAAAGTAGGACAGGAGAAATCCAGGAAGCATAGGGAAAGAAAAAATAAACAGGTTACATCATTACAAAGCACAATATGTATATACCATAAGGTATGGAGAAGAGATTAGCTGTGTTAAAGATGTATTTAAATGACAAAAATTTTAAAACGAGTTAACACTTGAGGTGGTGAAATAACATTAAACCCTTAATTATCTGAATATATTTAACCAAACAAGCTTCTCTTTGTTTTAAGCCCCTGAACTCTTTCATCACTTGAACACTTTCACTTGGAATCCCAATACCTAAAACAAAATGGCATTGCTCATACGGGGTGTGCACTGGGTGCATGCAGGCTGTGTGGACACTGCACAGAACAAAACGTGAAAACCACTGTACCAAGCACAAACACTTAGGAGGGTCTTCAACACACATGTCAAATTGTACCAGAGGACAGGAACTGGAGTGAAGATTCCTTAATCATGTTATATTTGAAGATCACCTTCCCAGCTATGACAGTTTGCTATTACTAGGCCTTGACAGTCCAGACAGATTATAAAGGAATGTTTCTTGTGGTAAACCCTACGGATTATGTGCATCCTAATCCCCTGGAGAAGTTGTTCAATATGGAGATTGCTGGATCCAACCTCAGACCTACCAAGCACAGATCTCTGGGAGCTGCCCGGAGAGCTGCATCTTAAATGAGCCACCCCAATAAGTTTGATACACTCGCCAGAAACGATTCTAAGATCGGGGAGAATCAGGTGAGTGAAAGCCACTTCAGAGCAATTCATGGAATGCAAACCCAGATCATACCATTAGTGGGCATAGGGGTTATCTCCTTCCAAGGAGTAGTGCATTACAGTTGCACTGCTTTCGCTTACAATTACCTACTAAAGGTGCAGAAACAATTCGTAATCTAACCCTATGTACTTGAGAAAGACAGGTAAAGAGCAGACCCCACAGAGTCTGTACTTACTACCCTGAAAAGGGGCTGTACAGGTGAAAATCTGAACTTGAACATACATTACCTAGCAATCCTCTGCTTTTTAAAAATATTCAAAGCAGAATATTTTTTAAAAAAATATTCATTTGTATATAAGATTCCCTTTTATACATTTAAATTATGTGCTCCGAACATAAAATACATTTATGAATGGTTTTTGGGAACATATCTAATGTGTAAAGCAAAATATAGCTGGCTAAGCATGTTGCATAAATTAAAAGAAGAGGTGGGGTCAGTTGGTTTTATAATTTTGGGGCCATCCTTAATTTTCACTGATGAAATCAGTAATGCAAATATATCCCATTACTTTCTCTCACCACTGAATAAACTGATGTGGTCACAGACTATTTTCACAGCCCTATTGGCCAGTGACATCTGGTGAAGATCCTTGAGTTTGTTCCCTGTGTTCCAACATCCGGATTTTGGAGAGTCGAGTTGGTTAATGAGAATGCCAAGATATCTGCCCTGGTGATTTTGGCCCTGTCTCCCCGAGATGCCAGAGGCAACGTGTGGTAAATGAATGCTACCGATGTCTCCCGCCCTTGCGAGTTTTCCCTAGTGCTCGTGGTGAGCAGTGAGTGCCAAAATTCAACTCAACGCAAGAAATCTTTGTGGGTCTTTTATGTGCCAGGTGTTGTGTTAGAGGTGGGCTTTAGTAGGAGGGCGGTAATGCAAGGGCGGACGCTGAGGTAGGAGACACAGACAGAAATAAAAGTATGTAACTACCCTCAAGAACTCAGTGCCTGAAGGAGGGAGCACATGACAGAAGGAGACAGGGAATCCTGAGGCCCTCTCTCTTCCAGGTGTTTACTAAAAGGTACACTGAGGCCTGGAAAAGGCAGTTAGCAACAGAAGAGTCATGACTGCCTGTCCTTTCGTACTCCATGTTGAACAGTAGGTAGAACAGAAAATGTTAGGACTATAATATAATACTTTTTACCCCTTTCCGCAAAATGAAAGCTAGACTTGGCGCTAGTGCTCCTTACTTGGCTCCATCTCTCTACTGAAATCTACCGTCAGGGCCAAGAGGCAACAAGGCTGGGTGATAAACTCATAGGAATGACCCCCTCCTTTAAGCTGGCATGAAATCTCCCGAGTCATTATATTCCCCCAAAGTGTCGATAACTGCACAGTTACCTTGATGTCAGCACTAAAATTGTTGATTTTCTGCCAGCCTGAGTTTTCCAAATGAAAGTTTGCCCATCTAAGCAGAAGCTCTTCTGGAGATAATTTCATAAGCTCCTCCAAGGTCTCACCGTCTCGAAGTAAAGCAGCCAAGGCTATAAGGAAAAAACCCACAACCAATATATTCCATGTAACACAAGTTTATTGAGTCTTTTGACACTCTATTAAGTAAGTAAGAGAGGTACTAAAAGTACTGTGACCTAGTGCCTGGTTTTCAGGTACTCACAGTCTAATAACAAAGATAAATAAAAGTAGATAATTATGATACAGATAGAAACATTGTATTATGAGAATACACAGCAAATATATATTATAACATATTCTTTATTATTCTTCACATTCCAAATACCAAATGTTCTAGCTTTTAAGTTGAACATTTTCACATTATGTCATATATTTACATAAATTGTTCTTAAATAATATTAAAATCAGAGACTTGGGGGAGTATGTTTAAAATTTTGGAGCCCTTTACTTAACCTTTTGATTAAACGAGTATACAAACCCTAAGGTATTTATATTTAAGTATAACTAATTAACTCTTGAAGTGTTAAACCTACTTTTAAAGGAACAGAATTCAACTTTACATTTTCTATAGCATCTAACATGTAAAGGCTGCTCAATAATTTTTTGTTGTTGAATTGAATGCCTAGAAGAAGCCAAGGGTTTTCTGATAAATATTCCCAGAGGTAAGAGGTAGAAGCTTGGGTGTCTGTACGAAGCACTGTCTAAATTCAAGCACTGTTTTATGAAGAAGTTGTGTAGTCCTTATGCAATAACTACCTCCCATAAGATAAAAGGAGATTTACATTGAACAAGACTGAAACTGCCTGACTTCCAAAGAGGTCTAAGCGATACCTCTAACAGGCAAATTTCATCTTTCATGGACTCTGCTTCATGCCATGTCACTCTGGCACTGAGGGATTTAAGCAAGGGCAGAGGTAACATTCTTACTTGTGCAGAAGCCTCTGCTCAGAAGAGGCCAGCAATTAGAAAAATTTTATTTGTTTAAATATAGGCCCCTTTGAGTGGATTGAAAGTGTAAGTGTAATCAGAGCAGAAAAGAATACATATTAAGTTTGGGGACTTTGGGCAAGTTCCTTAAACTCTCTGGGCTTTCGTGCCTTTATTGTACAATGAATTCTAAAGTGCCAGACAAATGTTATTTACTACTAAAGAAGAAAGTTATAATTAGGCTATTTTCCTGAATAACACTATAACATTACCTTATGTTTAATTCTAGTTATCATCTAATCACCTCAATTAAGTGAAAGCATGACAGTCCGCATGACTAGAAAAAAATAACCAATAAACGACTTTCAAAATTATGACTGTGTTCCATTACCTTCATTCCTGCTTAATTCAATGTCAGCAAACAAACCGATCTTAATGATCTGCCAAAGCAGTCCCAAAACCAGATGAGGTTTCCCAGCCCGCAAATCTTCTGCACCAATATTCACAACGTGACACCCAATGGCAGAAGCAGAGTTCAGTGCCAAGTTCAAGTTTTCCTGCAAGACAGCCAATTTACAACACTTGCTTCTTAACCTTTCTGCGTTTTTGCAGTCTATTTCTCCCTTCACTGAAAATAACACTCAGCAAGGAAATTATGTCTTAATTTTACCCATACGTGATCCACAGAAAGCAATATCCAGGCTTTGGTGTTAAAAGCATAGCTAGGGTCTTCCCTGGTGGTCCAGTGGGTAAGACTCTGCGCTCCCAATGTAGGGGGCCCGGGTTTGATCCCTGGTTGGGGAACTAGATCCCACATGCATGCCACAACTACGAGTCTGCATGCCACAACTAAGAAACCCACGTGCCACAACTAAACATGCCTCAATGAAGTTCCTACGTGCCGCAACTAAGACCTGGTGCCGCCTAAATAAATAAATATTAAAAAAAAAAGCATAGCTAAAACAAATCTAGCCTCATTGTTATTGTCTTTTTCAGATTTACAGGGGAAGTTAACTCGGTATTTTTATTTGGTCCCTTCTTAAGGACACTGACACTAAAGGGAAAGGCTGAGTTACTAGAGTAAGGATATCCATATGGGTTAAGTGTCGTATTTCTAAAAATGCCTAAATGAGAGGTCTATTGAATACACCTCAGAGTTCTAGAAGTTCTCAATCTCCACATCCCGAGATGCTCTTGCCTGAGGGAATTTTGCTATCTAACAGTCTAATACTCACTAAATGGAAAATAAAAGCCCTTTGTTCTTTAAGCATGCTAATTAATTAAGAGCTTATTTCTGTATGTTTGAACACAAAATGCAATGAAAAGAACACAGAACTGCTTCGCAGTTAGACCTGGATTTGAACTTTACTTCCAGCAGCAACGTCAGTACAGCTCAGAAGCCTTTCTGAGTCTCAGTTTCTCTTTTCTATGAAATCTGGAAAACAATCCTCAACTCAGACTTGTTATAAGAATTAAATGAGAAGATGAAAAGTGCAGAGCCTATGGTCTGTAGAACAGTCCTCAAACAGTAGTTTCATGGAAGGAGGGGAGAATGGTGCATACCTGAATGATGAAGGGTGTAAGTTTCTTCTTGTTGATTGCCCTCTCATCAATTGTATCAGGAACTGAAAGGTTGATCATTTTACTGAAACAAATTTTGAAATGAGTTGACTTATTTTAAAATAATCTTTAATATACACAAATACTGTAAGGCTTATTATAACATGTCTCTCATATAATCTGAAAAAAAATGCAACATATGACTTTTAACATGTTGATCTCAAAAAAACTATACATATAAAAATGCAAATAAAAAAGACCAAAGTATTTACAGTAGTTGAGTATTTCTGAGTTGGGCATTAGGGTATACTGTCTTATTTAATTTTTTGTAACTTCCACATTCTTTTAGAAGAATGAATTACTCGGATATTAAAAAAAACTTTATTGAATAAATATTAAAAACAGATAATATCGCACATTGAAACTGAATCTCTCTTCTAGATTACACAATGCACAATTAAAACGACCATTTATCTACAAAGAGGTAAAATTAGTTGAGCATGAGATTCTTTCATTCACCAAATACTTATTGAGTGCCTAGATGATGTACCAGGTACTATATTTGGTGCTGGAAATACAGTGATAATACAGAGAAAAAGAAAAGTTATCTTAATTAGGTTAGAATCTGACTTAGGAAGAATCTCATTTGGTAAAATTTGGAGTTAGACTCTAACATCTTAGATGTTTATAATACTGCCCTAAAACAAGTTATTCTGCATAGGGAAAACCATGCTTCTTTCCATGCAAAATTTAAATATTAAATAAATAGTACCATATGAGTCTCTATATTAAAACATATCGGGAATATCTCTTTACAGCCGATAAGTGGCAAGTAAGGGGATATTTCACATTTTTAAAATCAGCTTTTCAAACAACCAAAATGACCTTATTGAAAGAAAAAAGAATTTTATATATTGTACACTGTCATCAGAAATATACCCATTGCACTGTTCTAAGTGCTCTATATATAGTCACTTAAAGCTCACAACAGCCCTGTGAAGCAAGTACAATAATATGGGGATCATAATGGATGGATCCTGAAATGCAAAGTGATCAAGTACCTTTTATTTATTAAAAAAATTCTTCCCTATTATGGTTTATTACAGGATATTAAATATAGTTCCCTGTGCTATATGGTAGGACCTTATTGTTTATCTATTTTATATATAGTATATTTTATATATAGAGTGTATCTGCTAATGCAAAACTCCTAATTTATCTCTTTCTCCCCCTTTCCCCTTTGGTAACCATAAGTTTATTTTCTGTCTGTGAGTCTGTTTCTATTTTGTACATAAGTTCATTTGTATCATTTTTTTTAAGATTCCACATATAAGTGATATCATGTGGTATTTTACTTTCTCTGTCTGACTTACTTCACTCAGTATGACAATCTCTAGGTCCATCCACGTTGCTGCAAATGGCATAATTTCATTCTTTTTTATGGCTGAGTAGTACTCCATTGTATATATGTACCATATCTCCTTTATCCATTCAGCTGTCGATGGACACTTAGGTTGCTTCCACAACCTGGCTATTGTAAATAGTGCTGCTGTGAACATTGGGGTGCATGTATCTTTTCGAATTATAGTTTTGTCTGGATATATGCCCAGGAGTGGGATTGCTGGATCATATGGCAACTCTATTTTTAGTTTTTTAAGGAACCTCCATAGTATTTTCCATAGTGGCTGCACCAATTTACATTCCCACCAACAGTGTAGGAAGGTTCAAAGGGGTCAGTATCTTGATTGCAGCTATTGATACATAGCTACTGAGTGGCAGAGCCTGAACAGGAACTAGGCAGACTGATTATGGAGCATGCTCTTAACCACTGTACGCCACTGCCTCAAAAAAGAGTTGCATTCACTGACAAACTGTTGATAATCTTATATCATTTCTGCCAAGACACTGTTGGGTCTGGGGCAGCAGGAGTGACAAATGCATTTTTCAGAAATAAGTAATTGGAGGGTGAAAAGTGCCAAGTGGCCTGTTTTTCTCTTTTGGAACCTATGGTACTTGAGAATAAAGAGATGCTGACATAAAAAGTTCAACTAAGTTGTACTGTTTAGCTTACTCAGTGGTGAGAAGAAATTGGAAGCTGAGAGCTTCTCTAGGAAGAGGTCTCTGGTCTAAATGACTGAGTTTTAGATTCACCTTTGGTGGTACTTTCACGGACAGGCCTAGAGATGAAATGGGCAGAACCTAGACAAATTTCAATTCTGGCTATTCCCCGAGATGAATCCGTCAAGCATCCAGAAACAACTATGTCAATTACATGGAAGACTATTTTTGGAAATCTTACCAAAGCACAATTCCATCACCAACAGCTTTGAACAGGTCATCGGTATTTGGGTTCATTGGTATGACATGTCGGCAATCTGGATCATTTTCCAAAGCTTTGTTTATCCAGTTAACGAAAGCATATTTTTCTTCCTCTAAAATTATGTGGAATAAGAAGACATTAGTTCATACTCTAGGTTAACTATTTGACTCTAAAGCCAGAAATAGTTGTTCAGGAGAGCTGTACGTTAAGGTATCACAAGCCTGTTGTTATCCTCTTTGGAAACCCAGACAAGTGAATGCAACACAGTGGCTATTAGGAGCTATAAAATAAACAAAAAGAATAGAGCAGGGTTAACTGATCCTTAGAAGTTAGTTACAAAATTCTTTAGAAATTCTATTTATATTACTGTAGGGCTCTGCTGTAATAAAGCCTATCTGTGCACGTATTGTATCATGGCTCTTACAAGCTAACGAAGCCGTACAATAAATACCTGTAATGCCTTTATGGGAAGTATTAGTCCCAAGTCCAAATATAGGTCACAACGACTTCGACTGTATTCTTAATTAGGAGACAATGTATTTCTAGAGCCCCTCCTTGACATTATAGCAGGCAACCTACTTAGTTCACTGTGTTCACCTAACACATGTGAAACTATTTACCTGAGTAAGAATGCTGCGTTCCTTCACTGGACAGCTCTGAAGTTCCTCCCAGAGCACAGATCCCTTCTTTCCTATTGATTGCTTTGCGGAAGGTTTTGGCAATATCGCTGCTTTTTACCTCTTGGAAAATCTAGTAACGAAAATATGTTGTTGATTCACAATTTTCAATCAGGTACAACCATAAGCATATTTATCTTCTTTTATACTGTGGTAACCTACATTTTCCCCCATAGGTGATGAGTGTTAAAAGATAAGGCAAACTAGGCTTGAGTTTTAAGATGCTAAACAAGTACTTCAATACTGCTACCAAAAATGAAGTGCCAGAGGTCAACTGCACACACTTGTCAAAAACATCAAGTGCCACATGCGCTGAATCCGTTTTAAGCCAAAGACTAGTGTTGTTTAAAGGCACAGGTAAATCTGTTAATTTTCTAGAACAAGGAAGGCTTTGTTCCTTTCCTGGAGAGAAAAGACTGAAGGATTCCCCCTTCTTTAAGCACGATTCATAGTGCAAAGAAAGATGAAAATTTTGGGACCTCCCTGGTGGCGCAGTGGTTAAGAATCCGCCTGCCAGTGCAGGGGACACGGGCTTGAGCCCTGCTCTGGGAAGATCCCACATGCCGCAGAGCAACTAAGCCCGTGCGCCGCAACGACTGAGCCAGCGCCCTAGAGCCCACAAGCCACAACTACTGAGCCCGAGAGCCACAACTACTGAAGCCTGTGTGCCCAGAGCCCGTGCTCCGCAACGAGAGAAGCCACTGCAATGAGAAGCCCGCGCACTGCAACGAAGAGTAGCCCCTGCTCGCTGCATCTAGAGAAAGCCTGTGCGCAGCAACTAAGACCCAACGCAGACAAAAAAAAAAAAAAAAAAAAAAGAATAAACCCAGAAAAGAGGCTTTTCAGTGATCGAGCTTCTCTTCACAATAAGACACATGGCTAATGAAATTAACCTGCACATTCTAATTGTACAAAAGCAGGCTGTAACGAAGCAAATTTCATACCCTACTCTAACTGCTTGACTGAATGACCGGACATTCCAAAGGTCTGCCTATACATGTCTGAAATACTGGAACTTACCTAATCTCCAATTTGTTCCTGAGCTACCAATGTGCATGGCTAAATTAGCCACTGCCAGAAAAACACGAGCAAGATGTAGCATTTTCATAAAAACTTCTTTAAAACATGTTTAGAACACAATAGACTTATCGAAAGAAACTTACGGCCCTAATGGAAAAGTTGCTGAGCAAACAGAAGATAACCCAAAGGCCTTTAGCATTACTGACAAGTACATACTCACAAACACACCTCAGGAGGGGTAGCCTATGTTTGTAGGTCATAGAACAGGGTCACCGTATTTAGCAGTTCAGGCTGTGTCTATGAGAGCAGGCATGAGTAGAAGCTGAAATCCAGCCCATGCTCCCCTAAGCAGGCCTGGTGTCTAGTGCAAGACTGTGGCAGGCAGAAAGAGGAGTGCCTTTTTACATTTAGTCTCTCCAGGAGAGCATCTTTTTGTAATTAATCAACTGAGACAGACTCTAACTGGTAGGAAAGTTGCTGTAGCCCCATCACAAAGTCATCTTTTCCTGTTACCGTCCTGAAATCCTGGCCTTCCTTGGACTTATAAACCCAATTTTATTTAGGAAAATAGTTAGTAAGCAGTAAGTTTTACAAAATCAAGCTTACTCAATTTCCATAGCTGTGATTTTGTGCTATACCTGTAATTTCAGAGGTAGACTCAGAATGTGTGCGTGCGCGTCTATGTCTGTATATGTATATAGACACTCACACACTGACTACTCTAAATATTACACACAGCCAATGAAATCACTCTTCCTCCTCTCTGGCCATTATACTGACTCCTGTTAAGTATCCATAATGTGGAACTGACTCATGTACTCTGGGTAATTTCAAATTATTAAAATTATTTTTACTCACACTGATTCCACCTGTAATTTCATTTAATTTACCTTACCTTCCAAGCCAAGATTAGACAACAAAATGGTTACTTGGGAATGTAGCAATCTTAACTGTGATGCATTCTGTTCCCACAGCTCCCTCTTTGATAACTATACGTGTCTGCTCAGTGGAAAAACAATATTTACTATTCTACCTCATTCTGAACTTTACTTCATTTAGTATAACACTGTGTAGTAAATTAAAATATAAAATGTGTGCTTCTCCTGACTGAGATACCATAAATCACTGGAACGACAAAAATCTCCAAAATGTGATTGCCTCGAAGCTACTACCCTCAGAATGACATATGAAAAGTTATTTTTCTTATCACGACTATTTTTGCCTTAAGGATCATTAGCTTCTAAAAATTAGGTTGTTTCCATGATCACTATTTCAGCTGAAAAACTTTGTAAACATCATGGAAAAGAGGAACAATACAAATAATAATAACTTTTAAAGAAGAATGTCTACTGTACAATATTCTAACGCAATTACTTACATAGCTCTACTTAAACTCTTGATGCTTGGGAATAACACGTTGAATACAAAGTTGCAATTAAATGAGTTAATTTTCAATTGTCTTACAAAAGTTACATGACCTTCCTTCTCTAAATATTTTAAAATAAATTCTTCTGGCCGGGCTCAAACTTTCAGTTTCATAGTATTTTCCTCTGTTCTTTAGGTTTAAAAAAATGTTAAAAGATAAGTGATAGTTGAAGATTTATGTATCTGTTAAATTGATTCACTACGTGAGAATCTGCATTTTATTTTCTACTTTAGTAAAGGAATCAGTCGAGTGGATGATAAAGCAATTTGAGTATAAGCCTTGGCTTTACAAGAATCTCTGAAATCAGAGACAGCACCAGGCCAACTACTGTGCTGGAGAGTTGTCAATGAATCTTTTCAAAGCTGCCCGTGGTGATACTAATGAGCTCACTGTTTCATGCTGTTTTCCCTCCATGAGGAGGGACTTGCTTTATCATGTGTGAACAAACTCCTGGTGTACACTGCTCACTCTGGTTCTATGTATCTTTTCCAGTCTCTTTTATGAAACGTATATGTTTCTTATTCCTTTCAAAAGTGTCATCACCTTCCTAGATCAGCACTAGTGGCCAAACCAAAGCAATGCAGAGGCACAGGACTTAAGAAGGAAAGATTTTAGAATGAACTGCAAAAAAATACTGACTGGCTTCCAGTGTTTGAGGCTTGTTTCCAACGCAGCAGGTTTGAATTTTTACTTTTCGGGGAATCTGTTGTAGGCCTAAACTTAGTAATAATAGGAAAAGAACACTGCCTTTTTAATAAATAGAAATAACTACCAACAACTAACACCTGTATAGCATTTGCTATATACCGGGTATGGTTCTAAGCACTTTACTTATATGAAGCTACTTAATCCTATGAGGTCGGTAATATTAGTAGAAGTTCTAAAACAGGTCAATAACTTATTACCATTATGTAAGAGCAAGGTTCTCACTGTGAAAATAAGAGTTTAATGCAGATTTCTCTGCTGAAAGAACTTATCGCCATACCAATCTTTTTACAGATGAAGTAAAAAACCCCACTATTGGGATTCCCTGGTGGCGCAGTGGTTGGGAGTCCGCCTGCCGATGCGGGGGACGTGGGTTCGTGCCCCGGTCCGGGAGGATCCCACGTGCCGTGGAGCGGCTGGGCCCATGAGCCATGGCTGCTGAGCCTGCGCGTCCGGAGCCTGTGCTCCGCAAGGGGAGAGGCCACAACAGTGAGAGGCCCGCGTACCGCAAAAAACAAAACAAACAAACAAAAACCCCACTATTACCTCGGAGGTATAAAAATCCAGTAATTTAGTTTTGAAATACTTAGATGAAATAAGATCAGTTAATATATTTAATTTTAACACGTGAAGTTTACATATGATTTGGGGGCTCTTTTCTGCCATATATATATATTCTTCTCCAAAATTAATATAAACATGTTGTTTGTAGCCTGGTTTGCAATTAACACCTCTTAGGTAGCAATTTAAAATAAAAAACAAAAATCTAACATGCAAGAACATGTTTACTTCTATTTTCTTATGTTAATCCCTGACAGGAATAATGTGCTTCCTCTTGCTCAGGTAACTAGGATCTACCCATACTTTGTCTGACAATTTGTAAGATGTTTCATTGATGACAAGGCAGATGGGAGTGGACAGACATTTGGTTGGTTACATACCCATCTTTCTTTCAGTACAGTCACGGTGGTATCATTCTGAAACTTCATGTGGGTTATTTTACTGTCCTTCAGATTTCAAATTTCTTGAATAGAAGGCAGGTAACCGGAAAAAGCCACTAGTCCCCTGTGTAATGTTGGGCAAGTCACTTCCTTTTTCAGGAACCCAGGTTTTTTTAATTTGAAAAATGAAGGCGTATAAACATATTGATTTCTTCCAATTCTAAAATATACATTTTAACCAACAAAGTCCTCATTAGTATTTTATTTTTTAAAAAAATCCCTGGTGATGCCAAAATTATTATGCCTGTTATTCACTTTTTAAGAAAATACTAGGGTAATCACAGCCTTCACTTAAGAGCCACAAACAGCTGTGTGGAATCAGCAACGTTTCAAAATATACAAAATTAAATATTTCCCTAAGATGATTTTTCTCAAAGACAATTTCATAACTGTGTCCTTCAAAATACTGGCACACTGCAAATCTTGATTATTTAAGTCTGTTCTTTTTAGTAGATTAAAAAATTCTGAGCAGAAAATTATATCAAAAATAAGTGATCATAGTTATCTACTGCTCTAAGCTGCTTTAAACTCACAATTAAACATGCGGTTACAAGGGAGGCAAGTTATACATCAGAGGACATGCAAGCGCTCATATTGCAAGTCAATTGCAACTTACTATTGAACATAGGATTCGAAACAAAAGGCTTTGGCAATAACTGGAGACAAAAAATGGTGGGGAGGAGATCAGTATTTCAAAAGGAGATGGCAAGAACTATAGCATTATAGTTATGAAATATGTCTGCATTTTAAAAAAAAGTAACACTCCCCTCCTCCCAGCCACGCCCTGCCCTGCCCCACCCCCAGGCAAATGCTATCAGTTGAGTAGACACCACTACTTAGTCAATTTGCTTCTGGAACTCTCAAGGTGTTCTAAAGGGGTTAATTCTAGTTGGAAAAAACATATCAGAATTTCACCTCCTTTACTGAGCTATGGTTACTGATGGCAGTATATGCTATCATTTCAGGTGTCTTGGGGCAAAAACAAACGTGGAAAAGGATAGGAGTGCTAGAAAGTTTGTGATAAGTATTAGGCACTAATTACCTATCTGCAATATATATAAGGAATGCCAAATTCGATCTAGTCAAACTCAGCCTTAAATGAATAATAAATAAAAACAATAAAATCTTAAGTGTCCTTAACTGAGGGGAGAGGCAACAGCTATTCTTTAATGTATATCTCAAATACCTTGTTAATGAATATGGATGGAAAATGCCGTATGTCTAGAAAAACCTTGACCCTGCTAGTTAGCAGCTAAAAGCATTAGGCTTCAATAGTGAGTACCACACATACACTCTCTACGCACTGAGTATGGAACACTAGGTGCTTGGGGGTAGAGGAATTAAGAAATCAGCCCCTAACCTTGAAGAGTATTTGATGATACTAGAGAAGAAAACAAGAATTTTAAGTGCCTCTTCCAATGGACCGAAAAGATGTGCTTCTAACTTTTAATTATCAAAATCATCATCCTAGGGAAAACGGTACAGTTAAATACTACTACCACAAGAGTAGCAAACATCTTTTTAATCAGAAAGTTCAACTCAGGAAGCATCCAAGACTGTGAGTCAGGGTGTATCGTTAAAATTTGGGAGTACACTGTTCCCGATAGAAAAAGCACTTGGAGGATGTCATTTCACACCTTGAAAAATGCCCTTTAATGATGCCCCCAAAGGAGACTGTTCACCTTACACAGTGAGCAGAGCGTTATATCTTTGATTCTGTAAGTGTTCTTTTCTTGATTCTTTTGTTAAGATATTCTAATGGCTAAAAGAATGAACTAAATGTAGTGGGTGGGATGAGAGAAATTTTATTAGTTATAACAGTACTACTATGATATATTTAGGAACTTAATAGGACTTACTACTAAAAGACCCCACAAGACAAAGCAGCAATCATCACTTCTAATAATGGTAGGTTTTCACATACTTACATAAACAAATTCGTCAAAACTTATCTTCCCATCTTTATTCCTGTCACCATCCAGCATGAGTTTTTGAATAATTTCTCTCACTTTATATCCCGGTAATGGCATATTAGCTTCCTTGAAAAGCTCATGAAGTTCATAGTCACAGATGAATCCATTGCTGTTGAGATCTTTGTAAAAAGGGAGACCAAGCAAAAACGGAAACAAATTAACCTGTTAGAGTATTTTTCTTCATTTTAGGCTCAGTTCATAAGCTCGTCTAAATACAATGTTTTTCTTTCTTATTGTTTGGTACCTAAGGCTGTTTGAAAGGGAAATGCAAATTTTAACTGAAAGGGCATGGTTTACATCATGTTTTTAATGTTTTAAACAGTGTATAAGTAGCTTTACTTAAAAATAGCATCCCTAATTTTAAGAAAGCATAGCTGCTGAATAAAATTATTATTAAATCATAAAGCTGACAGGACTTTAAAAATTAAACAATTAATATATTATACACCAATAAAACACTGCCATGGTATAAAACAATTTCTACTGTAGCTATTTAGAAGCTTTATGCCCCTTATTCTCCCCTTAGTCTAATAGAACAGTTTATGAATTAATGCTGATTATATTACATAGTACGTCTGAAATTACAATACCATCTTCAGTGCCAATTTTTTCAAGAGTTAATGTAAATAAACGTTTAGCCAAAACAAATACAGAGTTCATAAAAATAAATGCAGTCATGAGTAATGCAAATGTATAAATAACTTTTAAATTTTTGTGCTTTCATAACTTAACACTGTATCTAAGTGCTAATGAGCTTTATTCTGAAACTGTTAAAAATGGGGGAAAAAAACTGATTAATGACAAAAAGTTAATTTATCAGAAAAGAGGGCTAATGTCCTGAGGGTTATAATCACTTGGGTATATTTTTTTAGTAAAGACAGTTGGACTTTCAACAGCAATTTCAAATACTTATTGTTCAAAAATGCTTTTTATTCCTTAGGTCCTCCACTGATTTTCATATATAAATTTAATTATAATAAAGGGAAGCAATCTGAATAGAGAAATGACTCAAGATGAACACAACACCATTCAAGAAAATGGACTATGAAGTTAATCTATTTGATATATTACTGCTTAAAAACTGTACCAGATACTGTTCCTGGGATCGGGGATACTGCAATCAATGAAAGAAAGTCTTGCTGTACAAAAGCTCACATTCTAATGACAACTAATAAGCAAATAACATATAACATAAGGCATGATTATAAACATAATGTAATATGGCGTAAGTGCTATGAAGAAAAATAAAGGGGTTAGGGGTTAGACTAGGGGCTATTTTGCCCCTCAGGGAATATTCAGAAATGTCTGGAGACATTTTTGATTAGCACACACAGCTGGGGGTGGGGAAGATGCTCCCCGCATCCAGTACATAGATGCCAGGGATGCTGCTAAATATCCCACAATGCATATGACCCTCCTTCCACAGAACTGTGTGGCCCAATATGTCAACGTTGAAGTTGAGGAACCCTGCGTTATAGTGACAGGTGGGGATGTGGGTGGTGGTGGGGGTGCTATTTAGATAGAAGGTTCAAGGACAGCCACTTTGATGAGGTTATATTTGAACGAAGACTTATGTGAGGAAAGAAAGCACATCATATGGCTATCGGGGGGGGGGCGGAATTTTAGATAGAGGAAATAGCAAATGCCAAGTCTCTGATGTGGAAGAGTGTCTGGTGTGTTTTGGGGACAGCAAAGATCCAGTATGACTTCAGCAGAGTGAGCAAAGGAGAAAATGAGAGATGAGGTCAGGGAACTGATCATAAAAGCTCTTATTAAAATATTAAATCCCCTGTATGAAACCAATACATTGAAAGCTGATGATATTGTTATGTTTACTTTTAATGAAGTATATGATTTTAGAGTCAAATATTCTTAAACATAGATTACCATATTTTTAATCTATCAATTAAAATATCTATACTTTTAAAGCATCATCACCAAACTACCCAACACTTCTGAAAACCACTAACATTTCCTTTGAGGTAAAGCACTTGATTCCCCTAGGGCACATCTTCAAGTTTTTTTGCTTTGAACTTATAAAAGGCCATACATCAAACACTTGATTAGTAAAGTGTTTATATGCAGAAATCAATCCAGCAACAACATCTGCAGCTGCTAAAAGGAACAAAGTAATCCACGTGGCACTGTGGCAGGATTTTAGCAATTTTTGATGAGTGAAATTCGTGGGTTTCAATACACCTTCTCCTATGCATATACCAGTCTATTTCTCCCATTTTCTTTAAAAAGTTAAATGAGAGCTCAGTACTAGACAGTTAAGTGTGACAAAGTGAAAGAAACACAGCATAGATGAAGGGACACAAGAGAGAGTAATAGGACACCGGATCTAATTTCATCTTGGCTACTAATTTGCCCAAGTCATCTCTCCAGATCTTAGTTTTCTCATCTGTAAAAGGAGGACTCTAGATCAAATGATCTCTAACGTCCCCTTTTAGCTCAAAAAACTGGAGATAGGGCTTCCCTGGTGGCGCAGTGGTTGAGAGTCCACCTGCCGAAGCAGGGGACACAGGTTCGTGCCCTGGTCCGGGAAGATCCCACATGCCGCAGAGCGGCTGGGCCCGTGAGCCATGGCCGCTGAGCCTGTGCATCCGGAGCCTGTGCTCCGCAATGGGAGAGGTCACAACAGTGAGAGGCCCGCGTATGGCCAAAAAAAAAAAACCAACTGGAGATAAAAACCATCATACACAGGAAAAACAAATATAGAGTAATAACATTCTGATCACTACTATACCTCAGTATCTAAATACTATATTCCTTCATTTTACGATATCTTTAGAGAAGGAGATAGCTTATTCCTTGCAACTATCAAAACTCTTTCCAAGAGACCTTCAAGATGGCAGAAGAGTAAGCCATGGAGATCACCTTCCTCTCCACAAATACATCAGAAATACACCTACATGTGGAACAACGCCTACAGAACACCTACTGAATGCTGGAAGAAGCCCTCAGACCTCCCAAAAGCAAGAAACTCCCCACGTACCTGGGTAGGGCAAAAGAAAAAAGAAAAAACAGAGACAAAAGAATAGGGATGGGACCTGTACCAGTGGGAGGGAGCTGTGAAGGAGGAAAGGTTTCCACACACTAGGAAGGCCCTTCGCGGGCGGAGACTGCGGGTGGCGGAGGGGGGAAGCTTCGGAGCCACGGAGGAGAGCACAGCAACAGGGGGGCGGAGGGCAAAGCGGAGAGATTCCTGCACAGAATATCGGTGCCCACCAGCACTCACCAGCCCGAGAGGCTTGTCTGCTCACCTGCCGGGGCGGGCGGGGCTGGGAGCTGAGGTTCGGGTTTTGGAGGTCAGATCCCAGGGAGCAGACTGGGGTTGGCTGCGTGAACACAGCCTGAAGGGTGCTAGTGCGCCACAGCTAGCCGGGAGGGAGTCCGGGAAAAAGTCTGGACCTGCCTAAGAGGCAAGAGACCACTGTGTTGGGATGTGCGAGGAGAGGGGATTCATAGCGCCACCAAAATGAGCTGCAGAGATGGGTGCGAGCCACGGCTATCAGCTTGGACCCCAGAGGCGGGCATGAGACGCTAAGGCTGCTGCTGCCGCCAGCAAGAAGCCTGTGTGCGAGCACAGGTCACTGTCCCAACATCTACTCCGGGGAGCCTGTGCAGCCCGCCACTGCCAGGGTCCCGGGATCCAGGGACAACTTCCCCGGGAGAACAAACCGCATGCTTCAGGCTGTTGCAATGTCACGCTGGCCTCTGCCTCCGCAGGCTCTCCCCGCGTTCCGTACACCTCCCTTCCCTAGGCCTGAGTGAGCCAGAGCCCCCTAATCAGCTGCTACTTTAACCCCGTCCTGTCTGAATGGAGAACAGATGCCCTCAGGCGACCTACATGCAGAGGCAGGGCCAAATCCAAAGCTGAATCTCAGGAGCAAACAAAGAAGAAAAAGGGAGATCTCTCCCAGCAGCCTCAGGAGCAGTGGATTAAATCTCCACAATCAACTTGATGTACCCTGCATCTGTGGCATACCTGAATAGACAACGAATCATCCCAAAATTGAGGCGGTAGACTTTGGGAACAATGAAATATATATATTTCTTTCTGATTTGGTTGCTCTCTTCCTTTACATATATATATATGTGTATATTTATATTTTCTCTTTTTGTGAGTGTGTATGTGTATGCTTCTTTGTGTGACTTTGTCTGTATAGCTTCGCTTTTACCATTTGTCCTAGGGTTCTGAATGTCCGTTTTGTTTTTTATTTAAGTATAGTTTTTAGCACTTGTTATCATTGGTGGATTTGTTTTTTGGTTTGGTTGCTCTCTTCTTTCTTTCGTTTTATTCCTTTTTTTATTCCTTTTAAATTTCTTAATAATTATTTTTTTTATTTTAATAACTTCATTTTTCTCTTTCTTTCTTTTTTTCTTTCTTTTTTTCTGAGCCGTGTGGCTGACAGGGTCTTGGTGCTCCAACCAGGTGTCAGGCCTGTGCCTCTGAGGTGGGAGAGCCGAGTTCAGGCCATGGGTCCACGAGAGACCTCCTGGCTCCACGTAATACGAATCAGCAAAACTTCTCCCAGGGATCTCCATCTCAATGCTAAGACCAAGCTCCACTCGACAACCAGTAAGCTACAGTGCTGGACACCCTATGCCAAACAACTAACAAGACAGGAACACAACCTCACCCATTAGCAGAGAGGCTGCCTAAAATCATAATAAGGTCACAGACACCCCAAAACACACCAGCAAACGCGGTCCTGCCCACCAGAAACACAAGATCCAGCCTCATCCACCAGAACACAGGCACTAGTCCCCTCCACAAGGAAGCCTACACCACAACCCACTGAACCAACCTTAGCCACTGGGGACAGACACCAAAAACAATGGGAACTACAAACCTGCAGTCTGCGAAAAGGAGACCCCAAACAGTAAGTTAAGCAAAATGAGAAGACAGAGAAACACACAGCAGATGAAGAAGCAAGGAGCAAGGTAAAAACCCACCAGACCAAACTAATGAAGAGGAAATAGGCAGTCTACCTGAAAAAGAATTCAGAGTAATGATAGTAAAGATGATCCAAAATCCTGGAAATAGAATAGACAAAATATAAGAAACATTTAACAAGGAACTAGAAGAACTAAAGAGGAAACAAGCAATGAT